AAGTCAAACTAGGAGTAAGAGATTTTTTGCCTTAATGCAAGTTGTCTGAACTTCCGGATCTGTCTAAATAATTAATTCAATCAATACCTGTCGAATAGTGCACTTATTTACCTGTCCAAGTGTCAACCTGTTTGACCTGTTTAGGTGACTACCTGTCTGCTTTTATTCCTGTCTACCTATACACTTGTTGACCTGTCTACTTGTCTATCTTTTTATTTTTTTACCTGCCTACCTTTTGACCTGTTTACATGTCTACCTGTCAACATGTCATCCAGTCTACTACTTGTCTATCTGTGCAGAAATATTAGGTTGTGTCAAATATCTCCCTTCCGCCTTTTTGTATTATAAACCGAGAGCAAAAAAGCAAAGAATATTTCTACATGTATATGAATCAATAATAATAATTTGTAGTGATCATTACAGTGTCAAATGCCATTTTTTTCTTTTTTACCTTGCAACTCCGAAATTGCTGAAGCTGCCTTCGCAAAAATGTATTCACTTTTTCACTCATTTAATACAATTAAAATGTTATTTTTTGAATCATTCGAATTGGATGCTCCGATCTCTTAAAAACTGCCATTTTTTTCTCCGTATCTCTGAAACGATTGAACCTGTCTTTGTTAAATACTAATCAGCATGTTTTCACGTTAATAGGAAATAGATTTTTTTTTCGAATCATTTAAATCGGTTGAGCGGTGCTCCCGAAAACGTCGACGATAATTTGTATCAAAACTTCACACTCACTATCTTACTATACACATCAATTTTTTTAAGGTAAGCCTAAATGTTCAGGAAGCGTTGAAACATAAATTTCTCTACACATTGTTGTATTTCAATTCTGTACAAATTGATATTTTGATGAACTTTAGCTTTCTTTGAATCTACATGGACGTTTTCGTCATACGATACTTACAAATGAGCTTTAAAAAATTCATAGATCTGACTGAAAGATTCGATATGTGATCTGAAATATGTTCCATTATAAGTTCTTACCTCGAAGCGGTTGAAAATATTTATATCTATCAAAATATTGTTTACGTACATTTTATACTGAAATAGCATCTAGTTTCATGTCGTCGTATTTTTCTCACTATATTATTCAACATTCAATACGCATATAGCCCCTGTAATGGAACCTATAATGTCTTATTTGGAATTCAGAACCAATGATTCCGCACATTAAGTTATTTTGTTTTCTATTTATATCAAGGTCTCTTTTGCGCTCTGAATAATGAATGTCTTCATTCATATCGATCTGTATTGGTTCATAGATATTGTTATGAATACGTTTTCTGGGAAAAAATTCCATAATATTTGATTTGTATCACGATGGAATGTTTTTTGGTCGGAAAATATCGTTGTTGATTTCAATTTTCTAAAAAATAATGAAATCCTTCGATATATCAACAAACAAAACAAAATATCCAATTTGACTTGGAGCAATTATATTGTGAAAACCAAACCAATTATATCACAACAAATAACACAAAAACAACTATGTTCAGTAAAACTCACAGCTAAATTCATCATTGTAAAAATGCGTTTTATTTGCTGTTTTTTCAAAAAATTGCCACCTGGTTCTTTTCACCCCATCGGCGGGGTAAAATAGTACAGCCATGGAAAAAGCAGTCTTATTTATAATATTGAAGAGATTTTACAAAATAGTAGCTACATTATTCAACCCATGCAAAATATAAAATTGTTGGATACATTTTTTACTGAGACTATATTGTAAATAACCTTGATCTGGTCAAAAAAATTCACCGGCAGAGTTGGAATAAATATTTATTTAATTTATCTCTTATAAAATTGCTCATTTTACATTAATTTTACATCTTTGCCAGGTTGAAGGTTCAGTTGGACCTTTTTTCCACACCCTCGTGAAAACTTTGTAGATTTTTAAACTTTGCCCTTTATTTTACAACAGAAAAATTTGTAAAAATCAAGGTAATGGCAGGTTATACATCAATTTCCCTCTACTTTCAAATATTGATGTTAAAGAATACTTAACTTTACCTGTTTCTGAGATATTGGTAGTGGACGTTTTTACCCGCGGACCTTTAAGCCCCATTTTATGTGCTAAGAACAGTTTATTGATAAACATCATGAATAATTGTCATAAAAACCCTAAAAACAGCCCTTTCCTTTTTCTCATATAAATGTTTTCTAATTAAAACGTAGAATCAATTTGAGCTTATTGCTATTATATAAAGTCCATATTAAATTACAAGCACTCACTGTATACTCCTTCTAAACGATTATTCGGATTTTGATAAATCTTTCTGAAGTGTGTTAATGAAATTTTCTAGGATATATGTGATTATAAAGTACTGGAATGTATGTACAATATTAGAGAAATAAATGGAAAAAATACAAAAGACGACATGTCATTGTTTGCATTCAAAACAAATGAAAACTATCATCTGCCAAAAATTTCAATTTACTTATGAACCTAGACAATATTAGAATATGTATAATAAATTTATAATTGTTAATAAGAAAAATAAAATGTCTACATTATTTTTCTCCATTTTATTTAAACCAAATATTAAACTTTTAACATCATCCATAATTACAGGCAATATAAAGTTAACTTAAACCATCATACTAATTCGTACGATGCTTTTCGTATGATAGTTGTTTTTACGATTTCATAAATTATGGCATTCTTCTTATCTACGTTGCATGTTTTATAATAAAGGTGTGTTCGTTCCTAATGGCGTATATGTAATAACTTTGCAACGTATGTGAAAGCCATAATTTTCCACTAACATTTAGATAATTACCCATGAGCAGAAAAAATAGAAAAGATAGATTAGGAGCATAAAATAGGTATTTATAGAACTGCATATTTATTATGGTTGAATTACGAGAACTGATACACTATATCAATATACATAACTATACTCATCGTCAGCACGCATGAATAAAATAGTAATTGAAACATATAATAATTTTTTTCTAAATTGACGTGCAATGATTATTCTAGTTTTTT